GGATGTCAGTAAGAGGAAGGTCTTCCAGCAAGCGAACATAATGGAAGTAACTATAATTTCCTGTAATACAAAATGTGTAACTTTTAATGAGGCTTTGCCCAAAAAAATAACCGAAATAAAACACTTAAGATTTACTACATTAAAATTAATGAATTCTTCAAGAATAAAAAGGGTATACTATAACCTTTGTTAGTTATAGTGGTTTGTAAGGCGCAATTAATTGAGTCAGTTACATATGTACGTACGCATGGGTGAGACTTGGCAATTGGCATTGAGTGCACTCGAAATATGTACATATTTAGTATGTAGTAACTATGCAGGTGCATAACAAACATGTGTCGAAACAAAAGACTTCCGACACGAACTTGTGTCAGTACATCCACTTGCCATGATGCATTCGCTGCAATGGGAGGTGTTACGAAAACACCGAAATATTATTTGCTTAATTAGGAAATGTATTTGGGACACAAATTTAAAGAATCTTAAAGTGGTTAAGTTTTACAAATACTTCAAGATTTTTTTTTTTTTTGTGATTTTATAGTTGAGTGACTTTGATGAGTTTGACTGCGCAGTTTGTGGCTGGAAATTTATTATATTAACTTTCCTGTCACACAGGCGCACAATTTTACTTGCACACATTNAATTCTATACATCCATTTGCTTATTTGCTTTTTTGTATAGTTTCAGGCAGGCTCTTCCTAAACTATGTATTTGTCAATGTTATTGTGGCTTATTAACATTTTATTTTTAATATTTTTATTGAGCTTTGTACCACGATTGTTTATTAGGATGTGGTGGTCTCTGAAATAGCTGCTATAACTTCTACCGCTTAGACTTTGTTGCTTTTTCAATTTTGCCTTATAAACAATCGTGGTACAAAGCTCAATAAAACTATTCATTTTTTTTACTTCGTTCATTCATATCTATCTATTTAGGCATCTCTAAATATCTAGGTTTTTCACTTGAATATTTAAACATCTCTGAATGTCTAAGTTAATATACATATGTATGTATAGCTTCCAAACAGGCACCTAAATATGTACAAAGATAATTAAGTATGCCCATCACTGGTATCAACCTATAAAAAAAATGTGTTAAAGCAACCGCATTTTAATTCGCGTTTTTTAGAAATTTTCTAAAATTATATTAGCATTTATTGGCCAGTCTTGGTTGCAATAACCACAAATATTTACCCAAATTTGATTTAGCTAAACCTACGAGCATTATCTGCCCACAGCTGCTCGTTCACAAAATACTGTTATATAATTATCGATTTCTTTCTCTTCGTATTTGACAACAAAATTTACACTTTGAAGTGAATGCGAGGGAAGGCTTTGTGTAAATAGTATTTACATATACATACATACATACTTCAAAGTAGATGAGATCATTCAGCAGAAAAGCAACCAGCTTCTTCCACTTTTTGTAGCAAATTGATACTCATCGATGACCAGCGCTTGTACAAATGCACTTTCTACGCGGTCGAATGAACAAAATGNTACATACATACATACTTCAAAGTAGATGAGATCATTCAGCAGAAAAGCAACCAGCTACTTCCATTTTTTGTAGCAAATTGATACTCATCGATGACCAGCGCTTGTATCAGTGCACTTTCTACGCGGTCGAATGAACAAAATGTTTTTTTTTTTGCTCAATTGAATAATTTTGTAAACTATATTTTGAGGTTGGCATACGTAAATATGTATTTCGCTAGGCATTTTTGTATGCACTTACCAAAATGTATATCTACTGACCATACTGGCTTGGTTTTAAGGGCTCTTCGTATTTTTCTTTGTTATAAAGGTTCATTTCGTTTTTAGTTTTGTCATTTTAGTTGCGATTTTTTCAATTATAGCTATGCCATTTTTTGCCAACTCTGCTCAGCATTACATAAATTGTATCCATCACCGGTCGCAAAAGTTGCGCTTCATTTATTGCATTTCTGCCATTTCTTCGATGAGCTAAGCAGCAACGCCACATCATCGGTGAATGGGAAAGTGTAACGGAAAATCGAGTTCGTTGCTTAAGTCTTTTGTCTGGGCTAAGGGGCTATAAGATTGCGCTGCAAGCAAGCAATTGCAGCCTAATAGGGAGGATCGGCTATACATATGTGCAGCGCGGGAATACTGGCATCAACGAAATCACTAATACGCGCTGCGAGGCGCGTACTCATTGCTTTTGTAAATAATTCATTTGCTTTTAAATAAATTAAAGTACAAAATCAACTCGTTAAATGTAATAAATTATAAAGTTAAGTGGTGTTGAGCACACATACAAGTATGCATGTAGTACATACATATATGCACATCTCATAAACCAGCTGCGCTCGCCTTCCCCATGAACTCTAATACCGTTGCGGTGTCGCAGTGCAACATTGAAGCTAGTTTTTTAAACAAGATCTTTTAACGCAATGCATGCTGCAGCAAAAACACAAGCGCTAAAATACTATATATACTACATAAGTATCTCTGATAACAACAAATTACAAAAATAAACAACTAGCACACAATAACAGTCACATATGTATGTACATACAAAACGTAACCAGGAAGATGACGAAAGCAGTGAAAAAGAAGAAAAGGAAAAAATTTAAAGAGATCCGACAGATCCGTTTATGACTTCACGAGTGTTTGAGTCAGTGTGTATAGCTACATAAATATGTAGGTACTTGTAATCGGCTGTGGTGTAACAACTGGTCAGTGGGTGTGCGCACAAAAACCTGCCCAAAAAACAGCTGGACCACCGTTGTACACTGGGGTATTAGGTGCGCTTTTATGCTTCAAAAAAATTATGGTACAATTTTTCTTTTAAATTATATGCTAACAAATTCAAGTTTTTTTTTTTTGTTGCATTGGTTTGCTCGCAGTTGAAAGTCGCCATTTTTATTATTTTTCAAAGTGAATGTTTGTCATAAAAAATTGTTTCTTGCCAACATGTTTTAATTGATCCTTCAACTTCAGGTAATTTTTCCTTGTGTTTCAACTATAAAAGATTTGTATGCTATAGATGCAATGATTAGGAAAGGAGTTAAAGTCGAACAAAATATATTTGGCATATCAACTCTGCATGGTTAGATTAGATTTTTCTAATGCTTGCTTCATTTGGCTAATAAACTGCCAGTTAAAAAATAGCTGATAAAAGAGGAATTGGGCAAGAAGTTTGTATTTATAAAACACTTAAAATCCAGAATTCGGAGAGAATTGAGGAAGAAATTGGTTTAGTTATTGATGAACCAAAGACAAGATTCGATAGAAACACTGTTGGACTTTTTTTTTAAATGCAAAACCAACAGCATTAATAACAACTATTGATCGAAAATATTTCAATTTTATTTTATATTATTTCTAATTCTATTTTCTCGAGCAAAAGGAAATGACCGCACAATAATTTTCAAACGGACGTGGCATATCGGACATGACAGGTTTTTCTCGCAATCAATATTTTTACTAATAATACGTATGCATATATGAAATTTAATTTTTTATTTAATTTTTTCAGTTCTTCTCTCCGCCGTTTCGCGTTTTCCTAACTTCTTTTCGCCATCTGAATACGAAATTTAAAATTATAAAGTCGTTTGAAACCATTTACTTGCATTTTCGGTTTACATTTTCCTGGAAACACCCATATTTAAATAGACAAAAAAAAATGTTTTTTTTTAATTTCATCAAAGATTCCACGATTTTTGGGTCTGGCTTCTACATGTTAAATTTTAGTTTCTCCTACGCTAAAAATAAGGGAGAAAATTAATTTTTTGATCAAAGTTTGCTTTTGTAAAAACTAGAGCAATTTTAGGAATTTTTCTCGAAAAATCACTAATTTTTATATTTTTTTATTTTATAATTTTACTCTAAATAACGATTAGAAAAGTTTTTGCTGGATATCAGAGTACTTTTTAATTTAAGATTTACAATAACATATAAATGTAAAATAACAAGAAATTAATGTCTAAAAGTGAATATTTTTCGTATTTCTCATACTTATCGACGTAATTCAGACAAAGCGAACTTTAAGAACTAAAAATTAAAATTCAAGTGTTTTTTAATGTTTGGGATGAGAATCTAGCATGAGAACAGAAACCCAAAGAAAAAAGATTTTCTTTTTTAACCGGTGTTATCAAATAACTGTTTATTCTTAATCAAACCTGTTTTAACTAAAATTAAAAGAAACAAGCTTTTAAGAGAACAAAACCCCACTGTGCGCTGGCCAACTTCAATGGTGACCAATGAGCAGCTACGCGATTCACAACACTTTCGTTGAAAGTGTAAGTCTCTCCATGGCATTGCTATTCGTAGTGCCAGAGACATACTCTTTCATTTACTTTCGATTTAGCAGCTGCTCTTGAGCCATTTTCGGCTGATCAAGCAACTATCTTAACAGCTGAGTGGTAAAAAAGAAGTTGAAAATTTTATAGATTTCAATTAGGCACCGTTGCCAGTTACATATCGTTACAATACAATATCGTTGGCAGTAACATTTATCAAACTGTCTTCATTTGCGTATAAAGAAAATGTGTTATTAATCTGCTATTGGTGAGATGAAAAAAAACACATTGCGACAGTTAAAAAATTAAAAAAAAAAATAATGATGAGTTTAATGGTACAGTTAAAGTCACTGAGTATTAGAGGCAGTAATATCCATAGATTACACTGAGCGATACTCCAAAGTACTTGGGCGGTGACGTTATTTTTCTTGTAGGTATTGTCGACTAAAACAAGAACCGAAATATGAGATTTGCCGCACCACCGGACCATTGCGCATTTAAAAGCCTATAACTAAGTTGACTATAAACCTATGTTCAGTTTCCTAAAAAGAAGAAACTTAGGCCTTTGGAATATACACTTGTGGCCACGCAAACCTTACCACCACTAAAAAAAAATCAGTAGAATTTTGTAAATAAAAAACCATTAATATAGTTTGAAGCGTTACAAAAACTGTATGCATAAAAGTTTTAAACTTTGTACAAAATTTAGGAAATGTCCACCAACTTTTAACTTAACTTTTTTAGAATCAAAACTTTTACGAATATTTCGGATACTGGTTTAATAGCCCATTTAACTTTAGTGTAATAATGTGCAAGTTTTAAGCGACTAAAAATTCTCAATGATTTTTGAAATTTTTTTTTTTCCAACTCACGCATGCTTTTTATATAGGAAAAAATGCGCCACAACGTATAGAAACAAATTCTCAACCAGAACCAGAACCATAATTTTAAATGGCTATTCAACTGCTGAAATTTTCCTAACAATTTTGATTAAAAAGTTGGAAATTTTGATAAATTCTTCTAATATCTTGTTTATATCAACACCTAAAGCACTTTGATCCATTTCGCTGTGATTCAAAACGGAAGCATAAACCAACTTTCAATACGTTCAGAAATTCGAAAGTGTATTGACTCGAATTTGTTTTCAAATCGTTTTTTTTTTTTATTTCTCACATCGGTTAGAAAACAGGTATAAGCATATCACTCATTTGACGCGAAGTGAAAAAAGGTTGATTTTCTTAATACAGCTCGTTTTAAATTTGAATTACTATTATAACAAATGTGAATTCTGGTTCGCTTCCATTTCGGTACACCGCGCAAATTAATTATTTAAAAAATATCGAATAAACACACTTTTAACAAATTTTGTTTACTTTTGAATACGGTTTCAGCGAGTGCGCTATAATGACACAGGTATAAATGTTTGAAAGAAATATATGTGTTGAGGCAAATCAGCTTTTTGTTAATGCAGTTCTTGCGTAGGTATAAACAAGGTAAAAATTTTGTAAAAGAATTTGAAAATTTTATTTACAAGCTTTGGTTAAATTCGGAATCAACAATTCAAAATTGGTCTAGAACGGCGATGGCCACCATCTTGCCCGCGGGCAAAGCTCTTTTAAGCTTTCTATACATTTTGCATAAATTTGGCAAATTTGTCCCACAATTCTGATAATTTAACAAAGAAATGACAGCTTTCTCTACTTCTTTGAAGTGATTCCATCTCATCGACCTCAAGGACGCTGCGACATGACGGATCAGAAAAGTTCCGTAGCCTTACTGAGGGAATTCCATGTGGACAATGACCTGTGAGCACCACACAACAGCGAGAGCCGTGGCTTTGCTAGCGTAAGGAGCTCTTTCGACCGTTCCTAGGTCAAAAGGATTCTACAATTCCACATGTCTTAGTTTTCCGTCCAACAGTGAACCACATGGCGTCAGACGTGCTCGGCGATAACTTTTCAATAGTACTTTTTTTGCCAAGCCATCAGTCACAAAGTTTCCCCGCAATGTCGCTGTGGTCCGGAATCGAACGAAGCCTAATACATAAGTCCCCCGACTCGATTCACTGAGTGCATTCAAATGCACCACCATTGCATTCGGGGTCTTGACAGCCAATTGGCTATCGAGTATATGCTTACCTCCTTAACTGTTGTCACACTCTTCAGTAAAAGTTGGTTGGTTGGTATAAACGTCGCCTGAGCACTATCTAAGGACCCAATAAGCGCTAAGATAAGCTTTTTCTGAGATCCCTGATATTAACTTTCTTTATGATTCGCAGTTTCGTCAAACTGCTTAGATTTGTCAACGAATCTGTTTGGCCAATGTCCCGTTGGGGGATTAAAAATCGTATATACGAGAAAGTTATTGCCCATTTTACTGTAGTTGCCCTCTCGCTAGGCAAGGATTCGGTCTTGCTATGTTTTTTTAATATTATCCGTTATTCTCTCCATAAATTGACATCATTCGAAAATTACTTTCGCCGATCTCACTTGGATCGGCGCAAAATTCATCTTAGCCGGTTCGGAAAGGATGTTCAAAATTAAAACGAAGGAATTTAATTTAAACAACTTTAAACTTCTTTCAGTCAGGCTTTGTTTTTAGACCCCTCAAAAAATATCGGAGTTATTTAAGGGATTGATCAACCCAAGCCAAATCGAAAATTTATTGTTTCATTTAAAAAAAAATCGACTATCGGCGCCTGAGTGGCAGATAGCCCTATCTCGGCTGCACATCGACATTCCAAAACTCAAATTTACAATTTTTTATTCAGTTCATTTCATGCTATGCAAGTTTTACGGCTATATTCAGTATCAGTGACAAATTCTTGACACAGTTTTTAATACTTTTGAAGATCATTCTGAAAGTCACATTGAATAAAAATCTATCTCGAATTCAATTCCCGTTCCTAAGTTAGGAATTTAATTAATTAAACATTTTCAAGAACTTTTTTCTTTTTTTTTCAAAGCACTGCCATTTTGTAGAAAAAAAATAATTTATTCTTTACCTAAAAATTGTCAAACAGCTCGAAAAAATTTCTTAACAAAAAAACATCTCAGAATGTGAGAAAACGAATGACCTGCTAAGAAATAATTAGCAAACCAAATTTAGCTTCACTAATGCTTCCTAAAAAAAAAAAAAAAGTATAACTACTTAAAAAAAAACTTCCTATCTTCCATAATCGGTATTTTAATTTTTGGAAATGCCTGCCCTCAACATCTGCCTTGCATTGGCGATTACCGCCTCTGCGCAGCTTTCGAAGCTGACAATAAAGTTTTCAATGACAATGGCAGCATATTTGGCGCACAGTTAACCAGCTAATACAAATATTTACATATTAAATTTTTTTTGCGCACTAAAAACAATCTTAAGAGCAAAAAAACGAAGTCGAATCTGCTTTAATCAACTCACAGACTGCATAGATGAGTGCGCTACAGCTGCAAATTTTTTCCACTTATACAATGTAATTTGTTTATTTTATTTCCTTTAAACAAAACGTTAGAAAAAGTAAGTGAAAACGCAAAGGGAGAAACGCGCTAAATTGACAAGCAGAGATACAAACAAATGCTGCTCTATATTTGCTTGTTCGCTTGCTTTTACGCGGGTAACACTCATTTGCATGCCAGCACCGTTTGTGTTGAAGTTCAAGTTTGTAGCGCCAGTCTTTCGTTTCGGCCGCCTGCCTGCACCCTAAACAAAACGTACACCTTCCTTCACGCTCGCTGCGTACATTTTTTTTCTTAACACATTTCTTCGCAACCTGTGCGCGCGACTTTTTGAATACCTTCTACTATTTTCTTTTTTTTTTTTGTTTTCTATAAAATACTATATCACTGTTTTTAAATTTCCTCTTTTTCGTTCGAATCACGTTTTGCTATTTACGATTTTTAACATAAATTGTTTGGTGTTTAGCCGCTTTAGTATTGCAATGTATGCTTTACCATTGACGGTCGTCGTTAAACTGAGTCTGTGCGGCTGCTCACTTATGCGTCAAATTGTTGTTGATATCGTTGTCGCGGCTGAAGCTCAAGTAGACAAGTGCGCGCACTCTCGCGGTCAACGGAATATTTAAATAAAATAAATATAAACAAAACGTGCAGACGAGTACGTTATTAGACTGCATCACCAAAAAAAAGTTGCGGTTTTTCCGCGGGGATTACAAAATTTATTATATTTTAAGACGTTCACCAAAATTTTTGGGAAAAATATTAACATTTAAGTGAGCTGGACCGATATGAAAATACCTCCAAAAATGGAGTTTTTTATGAATAAAAATAGTTTCGTATAGAACTTTTTGAAAAAAGTCCCCTCAGATGACAAAACAGTTTAAGCTTAAAAAATCTGCATAAAAATATTTAAAAATCTTTTCAACGGAATCGTAAGGATGAGATTTTTGATGCTGTTTTTTTACTTTTTTAAAGATTGATTTACGAAAAACTTGAATAGCTCTGGGCCAAAACTATTCTGATTTAGACTTATGGGATCTCAGTAGAAAGGTATTTTCAGTTTTTATTTCTGTCCAAAAAAAAAATTATTCGTGTCCCAATTGTTTTTCAAATACCAACACATCTTAATTCATCTTTGAATGAAGTTCGTTCATCCTACTTTTCTCTTTCATCCTTTGAATGAGTTTATTAGCAAAGAAATAAAAAGGGTGAGAAAATACCTTTCCACCGACACCTCTTAAGTCTAAATCAGAAGAGTTTAGGCTCAGTTATTCAAGTTTTTCTTATACCAATCTTTGAAAAAAGTTAAAAAACAGCATCAAGATCTTAATAGTTTTCCGAAATATTTTGGTGGACGTCTCAAAATATAATAGATTTTATAATTCCAATGGAAAACTAGTACCGATTTTTTTTTTACGGGGAGTGATGCAGTCTAATGTATATGTATGCATATGCATAAGTTCGTACCTAAATAGTAGGTAATAAAGATAATATTGATGTAGGAAAATGTGACATGTGCATACGTTAGGGTGATCCAAAATAATTAAAGTCGGAATTTTACTGCTCTCACCCACCAGGCTTTTTCTATACCGAAAAAATATAGCTCTGTTTTTTGTTTTTTATCTGGAAATCAAAATATATTTTGAGGTCGGTCAAAGCGATCGAAGTTTTCCAAGCATTTTATGCAGGGAAAAACAAGTTTTCGTAGAAATGGTATGGAACTCTTGAAAATCAATATTTTCGATTGGAAAACTTCCTTTCCTTCAGGAGACTTCCAATATCAACACCCAATTGTTTATTTAACCATTTTTTAATACTTAAGAGTTTTGATTTATCCCCCATTACATTTTCTGGCAATTTATGAGGGTTTCGGCGGACCTATAAAATACAGTTACTATGAAACAATTTTTAAACAAATAATTTGATACTATTATTGGGAATCTCCTGAAGAGAATTAGAGTTTTCCGTTCGAAAACACTTGATTTTGAAGAATTTTAAACCATTTCTACGGAAAGTTGTTTTTCACCGTATAAAACACATGGACAACTTTCAGCGCTTTGGGTCACCTCTAAATATATTTTTATTTCAAATATTCAAATATTTTTTCGGTATAGAACAATCTTAGGGGGTGAGGGCATAAAAATTCCGACTTTACTTTTTCACATGCGTTTTTGGACCACCCTAGCATACACAAATACATACCTACCTTTTGTTAATAGCGCACACATAAGATATAAAAATATGCTTATTTGTATTAAATTTAATAAAGCAAAAGAACTTTACCACTAAACATATGTTTACTCAGAAATCGGCATACATTTTTTACGCCCTTTACTGTTTTCAGACTTCACCAAGACCAAGACCTCATTAGATGGGTTTTAATTATTGGCCTCCACTTTTTCGCAGCTATTTAAACTCTGATATACATATTCATTTGTTTAATACCTTCATTCTACAAACGCATACATGGCCATCGTTGAAAAATCATATATGCATCCTTGATCCATTACGAAACTGATTCAATGAACTTGACTGTTGCTTGACGAGAGAAAATCGTGAAAAAAATAAAAAATTAAATTGAATGAAAAATTTTAATTTCCAATTTTAGTATTTCATAAAATAGTAACAACTATAAAAATTACCTGCGGCCAATGACAAGTTTTTCGACTTGTGGGTAGAACAAAGAATTACTGACTGGCGATTACTGGAATTATTAAAAAATATCGTCGGTGATACTGTAAAAAGTCCTATGGCAATTATTACTTTTTGTTCTGAAGCGATCAATCACCTGGAATACATCTGTAAATTGTTCTAACGTAAAAAGGCAACGGAAAAACGGTCTATATCTTTCTACTGAAATTGAACTATTAATAAACGCTTTGTGCAGCATCGCCGACGATATTTAAAATTGAAAACCGAGATCTGGAAGCAAGGTAGAGCGATTGCCGTATTTAAACCTCCATGATTTTGAAGTGTGGAAATAGGTGGCTGCTACAGAGCGATAACCGTACTCGCTTCAGGGTCCCCAGGACGCTCGCAACCGTACTAATCTCCGGGATTATCTTCCCATTACTCATTGGCATGAAATCCGCAAGACTTACAGAGCACCAGCTCATTACTGAATGCCTTAACAACGTAAATATCTGACGACCTCAATAAGCAGCAGTCATGAGCCCATTCTCCCATTAGCGTGGATACTGCCCAGGTCCTTCGACCTGTGCGGCAGACAGTAAACGGAGTTGAATTATAGATGATAAACGAAAAGCTGGCGTATTATCAACAACCATCTTTAACTTCTATCTCTCCAAATTATCTTAACATTCGGATGAGGCACTCCTTTAATAGAGACTCCATTAACATTAGAAACATATAAAATTTTAAAATTTATTGCAGTGATCGAACAAATTCTCGCACACTTCTAAAACTTACGCAATTTAGTACTATATTAGCACATTTTCATCATATTGTGGCTTATATTCAATACCACTGTCTTTAAAATCCAATAGTAGTTTGTGAAAATAAATATGTGTTAGTTACACCGACATTAACTAGGCATGACTGTGGATGACTCCATTGTGTGTAGTCGAAAGGCGAAAGGACGTACACAGATAACTCGCGAGCCAGACGCACCGTCTATGGCGCCTAAGGGAACCCAGTGGGAAAATGTAGTGTATAGTAATCGAAAAAATAAAAATAATTTTCCCCAGGGCGATGTCCTAAGAAAAGTAGGGCATTCAACTTTGCATTACCTAGTATCGAGAAATGAATGTGTTTTAATATGAAATTTTTGAATACATTAGAAAAACTGCAGACAGAAGGGAATTGAATATAGGCCCTCGATATGTTATTTCCCATTTATATTTAAAATTTTATAAATGCAGAAAAATCATTTAATATGGAGAGGTGAACATTAGATAAGTTGCAAAGTGAATATTTCTTCTACATTAATTAAAATTTTATTCTAATTATGAACATGTTATTGTTTCAAATTTAAATTTGGGACAAGTAAGGTACAGTGCAACACCTAATGCAAAATCACACTTTTTATTATAAACTAGATAAATAAAATTTAATCTGGGAATGTTCACAATACGCTCATTTGCTTAACTATTAGCAGTGAATGCATTTTTGGCTATACAGTTACTTACATTGCTGCAAAAATTACAATAAATTAATGACTTTGTATTTGATAGCTTCAATGGCAATGTGTTGTGCTTTAAACTTAGTTAAATATTAATTTTAGCAAACACGTCCTCTTATGGCCATTCATCGGCTGATAAAGTTACACGCTCATCATGCACTGTGTGAAAAATTAAGCCGTTGCCTTCCGGTTTATGCCAGGATGGTAGTAAAACGCAACGCCAAAATTTTCTAAAAAAAAATTATTACATATTGCACATGCTCTGACAAATTTCAACATGAAAAATACGAACCTACCACGCACCAAACCCAGAAATAATTTCCAATTTTTACGTGCACCAAAATTATATGGGTTTACATAAATTTTATTTTCTTTCAGCATGCGTTCGGTTTCTTCTTGGTTAATAAGCGCTTCTATGCTTGTTTCACCACGTGTTATCATTTTTGCATGCCATATCGTTAGCGCACCCAACGCCAGTACCGCAGTCAAATTTGTTACGGTCATAAATATTAAAGCCCGACGCCTCCCAACTGAAAATATGTCATCTTCTGTTATGAGCGGTGTAGGCAGTAGGTGTTTAGCGGGCAGCAGTAGGTCATCATCGTATTCGTGGGCATGCGTCTGTTAAAATAATAAAGCTTGAGTGGATTTTCAAAGGCGGCACTACTACATGCAAATTCTCTTACAACCGGTATGATGTGTCCACTGAGGTTAAATTTAACTGGTTGCCCTTCTAACGGTTCCGACTCTATCCAACTATCACCATTATCGACCCACAAATTTTTATAACCAATTTCAAAGCCGAAAACAATTAGGAAAAGACAACCGATAGTAGTATAGGCCATGTAAAGGAAGAAGTAGCGGTGATTAAAAAAGCCCACGCAGTTGTTAAGCCACGCTGTAAGAATTGATGAATGTTTGAAACTATTATGGACATTACTAAATAAACTCGGTGAATAACACTTTTATTGCCGTCATGTCATCACATGCTTTACAATAGCAGAGACAGAACTCCACCCAGCAAAACATATGCGGTTATTTTTGTTATAACATCATGAATAACAAAAATAACCAAAAGTATTAATATTTCGAACGGAATACCGTCTGTTTAAAGTACGTACGACAGTGGTGATCCATTTTTAGTATACATTTGTTGCAAATAGAGCAGTGATGTGTGCGCGGCGCCTTGGGTGAATGACACTTCTTACATATTTTGCGCACCTCAAATGTGCCATCGTCCTAAAAAAAAAATAAACGTACGTACACATGTAGTATGTATGTATGTATATCATTGGGACTAAAATGATTTACTTACTATTTTTGGCGGCTCTCCAGGTGGTGTTATCACCCCCATTATATAGTGGAAGACGACATTAAGCAACAACCAGTTACCAATAATGAGTAAAACCACGGTAGCTTTAGGGCTTTTCTGCCACCAAAAGGGCAAACCAATCCAATAAGCTATTAAAACTACAGCTATCGTCAATCCCGATACAGCAAATAGGAAAAACTAAGATATGTGTATTATTAAACTATGTATAGTTAATATAAAAGATTTTAAATATCGTAATATTTACTGGCCCTAAAAGATGTGTATAATTATCGACGAACCAGAACATGGGTTCCAAACAAGTATCTGAATCGAAGTTTGTGACCAGTCTGTGAAACCATGATTTTGCATAGCGCCAACGATTACGACTTTTATTGCTGGAGCAAAGAAGAAATTCGGTTGAATTTCATATGTTTTAGTTTACTGTAACTGGAACAACTTAAGATTACAAAACTTTTAGCACTTACATGAAGTTTTTTAATACGGCAATGGACCGCCAGTTGAAACGACTCATTGTTATTATAAATATGTTAGCCTTAGCTCTAATGTACTTCCACTCACTCAGAGCCAGTTTATGTGTTCCATTTGTTGATTTTATTTTGCAAATTGTTCAGCTTTAAAAAAGATTAATGTTTTTATTATATAGCAGAGCATAGCCACTAAAATTAATGTGCTTTATTTCTATAACGATAAACAAAAAAACAGCTGATGGGAAATAATGTAGCTTTTCTAAAGGTAAAGGGGGAAATACACCATACAAGTGGTCTGACAAACCCACGTTTTCCATTTCGTCATTCACCATTCATACATATAAAAAGTTTCGTCTTCTACATTTTTTCTCACCTAGAACCTCACTCGGTGAAAGTTTTGTTGCAAATGACAGCCAACCTAATATTCACGCACTCTGGCAATTTGCTGGGAATTCTCGAACACACATGATTCAATAATTAAAGGTTGGCTCACTAGTGACACTCGAGTTTTGATACCCCCTTAAAGCGAAGCGCACATTGGCGCGATTCTGTCGTTGCGAATCCGCAAGCCCAAAAATTACAACAATGCTACCCATACATTTTAATGCGCTAGCGCACACTTGCACGATTCCGTCGCTGCGAATTTTTCGAACATTCAATGTTCCTCTCTATTGACGCGTTCGAAACGCGGCTTGCAGCGTTTTGAAGGCGTCAAAGAAGAAGAAGAAAGGTGTCACAGCAATAAAGGCAAAGAAAAAAAACCTGTAATGTACAAAAACTAATAAAAACGCTCGTAATAATAGTATTTTGTACGATTTGGGCACGCCGAGTGCGAAAATACACGAAATAAAGGGAAAATTGAGTGAATTGTACATCGGAAATCGACGCGAAAAAATCGCTCAAGTGTGCGCACGTTTGCGGATTCGAAGTTAACAGCCGAATTCGCAACGTATTCGCAACGATGGAATCGGGCTAATGTGCGCTTCGCTTAACTCTTTTACGAAACGGCGCTGACATATACGACTTCCATGGTGAGGACGACGCAACATCCACGAATGACAAAGATCTANTAATTAAAGGTTGGCTCACTAGTGACACTCGAGTTTTGATACCCCCTTAACTCTTTTACGAAACGGCGCTGACATATACGACTTCCATGGTGAGGACGACGCAACATCCACGAATGACAAAGATCTGCGAAGGTTGAAGAACAGGAAAAAGCGCCTTGTTCATCAACGGGTTGGACATAATGCTAGTGGCTGCAATTTCATTCCAGCTGGATACACGTATGTCACAGAAGTCATCGCAGATTTCATCATAACTGCAAGTGCAGGATACACGCATGTCTGAGATGTCACCACAGATTGCATCCCAGCTGGAAACACAAAATACATACATGGCATCACAGTTGGATGAAAAGATCATACAGCTTCGGGAGAATTTAGTAAAAGATAAATCGGAACTCAGACAGGATAAAATAGAAGAGCGGCAAAATAAATCGGAGGGCTAATTAAGGAAAAACCGCACAAAGTCGAAGCTAAGGAAGATGAGCTGGAAGATCCCCTCCGAGATTTGCAGTTGAATCGTCCAGCTGCATCGACAAGTGCTCCCAAGGTAAAAACTCCATCCTTTCCAGGTCCTAAAGCTCCAGTTCGAAAAAACGGCTAGCGCAAACTAGTGGAGCATGGAGGATAAATCCGCTGCGCTGTTCGTGGCATTAAAAGGACCTGCAGCGGAAATCTTGCAGACTATTCCCGACAGTGAAAAGAACAACATGGGTGCAGTGGAAAGGCGTTATGATAGCGAGCCCAGGAGGAAAATTTACCAGATGGATCTGGTGAATCGGAACCAAAAAGCAAACGAGTCTGTACAGGAAATCGCCTCAGAGATCGAGAGGTTGGCTGCTCACTTAGCAATTGGAGACGCAACTGCTGAACACCTTGAAGGAGTAAAAATCCAGCGGTTCATCAGCGGAATGAGGGACATATATACCAAGCGAGAGACGTATGCAAATCCAAAGCCAACATTTGCTGAAACGGTCTCGTATGCTCAGACACGTGAAACGGCGGCGCTCCTAAGTAGGCCAGCCAACAAAATACATCGAGTAGAAGTAGAGACACCTGACGTGATGAACGAGATACTCAAGTCGATCGCAGGGAAAAATACTCGTGGTGCGACCGAGAAAAAGGATGGCTCTGGAAAATGCTTTAGTTGCGGAAAACCAGACCCATGCGAATGTAAGACGGGTTCCAACAGGTCTAACATTTCAGCAGTACATAAAAGCTGGTCTTCAGCTGAAAAATTACTCACAAATTGCAAATTAACACAATTTTAACTGATTTTCACTTACAATTCAAATTTCTCTTTGCCGCTGATTTGTAGGCAATGGTTTATTTACTGGTTACCTCAACTGTCAAAATCGGAAAACCAAAGTAGCGGTGCAACTGACGGCGCCACCTTTGATTCACTACACCGTGGTTTGAGCTAACGGGAAATTTTGTCGAGTTTCACAAAACGCTTGTGTCGTGTACTTCGTCCTTAAAGTTTAAAGTATGTGCATTTTTGTCCCAAACCGATTTGGTGTAATGCATTTATGTCGCATTTTGGAAGTTTTCTAAAGAAAAATGTCAAAATAGTTCCACCCTGTACTTCCAATGATTTCCGGTGGTGCCTTCCAGACAATTGTGGAAAACGAAAATAATTGATCGCAAACAAATCGCAATTAACAAATTCATTAGAAAATTCTTATTAAACTGTTGTGAAACTGTATATATTATAAATAGTGCATTAACGTTTTCAAAAATAAGTGTATTTACCTAATCTAGAAGCCATATTCAAAGATTATATTGAACATAGAGTCCATAAAACGCAAAACTTGCTGAAATAAAAACATTGAGGACTTTCTATGGGATCATCGGCACAAATAATTGAAAAATAAACACTGGAAAGTTTTAGTATTTCATATAAATGGATCAAATTCGACCTGCAGGTATTTCTAATTTATGTCTCAAAGAGTAAACTTATCACAACAGAATACAATTTTTAATAACTTTTTTTTTCAACTACGTAGAACCATCGAATTTGAGCGGTGCCACAGGAACTGCAACTGAAGACCAACCTTTGAATAGCAATGAGGAAATTGTAAATACTAATGAAGCAGGGGAAACACCACCCCCCAGTGAAGGCACCAATGAACTCAGCCGTTCTGTATCTGCCACAAAACCCAATACAACTGAGGAATCAACTGCAGGTCTTCCTTCTGCTGAAAATGAAGCAGCTGTTCAGCCGTCTGCAACAACGTCAAGAATAGAGCACGCGATTAATGAAAACATTCCTCAGCAACTGCCCGATACAGAGAGTGAACGGCAACAGTTACCAGATGTTTCCACACTGGCCGTTGAATTAATCAATGATGCGGTAGCTATCATACAAGACGATATTGGCTACCAACAAGAATCTGTACTCGTCCCAGACAATGATTTAGTTCCTGATTTGGAACATCCCGTCGCAGTCGCAGCTAATATGGAAATTGAAACGGAACAACGAGAGGTTGATGAAGTCAGTTCAGATCAACAACCAGCTCAGGGGCCACATAGCGGGTGGTATTCACCAGTGTTCAGTGTTGACGAAAATGAAGGCGATGGTAATGAAGAAGATTTGCGATTTGACCCTTCACCGCTAATTGAACCGCTTTTGGAGGATGACGATATGGTTGAACAAAGAGATGAAGAGGATGATGACGAGCAAGCAATGGCAGAAAATGAGGGTGAGGACAACATGATACTAGAAGATATATCGGACGACGCTTCATCATCTTCAGACGCAGTTTTCGATAGTATGGAGAAATAGGTTTTAAATTTGCTAGTCCCACATTTTTGTTTTTATATTTTAGATGATCTGATGCGTGCTGCTTTCAGAGAAATGTTGGTGCAAAATAGACGAGGTGGAGAAAATTTTATGCAGCGCTTACGCAGCGCCTTCTTTACAATGGAACATAACAGAGAACGCCGGCGCGTAGAACCGGAAAGTAGCGAATTAGAAATCGAGGAGCCGGATCCTGAAAACCCAGTTACCTTTGATACAAATTTACCAGCAGAACATTCATATTTGGGTGAGAACATGAACCGCGTGTCTGGTGTGCATTACTTGGAAGTGGGCAAGGAGTACAACATGATGCTTTTTATGCATCAACACATCTTATTTCCTGGCGAAGTTCTGCCTTTCATGATCTCTGGGTCAATAATAGATATGGATACGGAAAATGGTATGCTCTTTGGTGTATGCTTCCCAATACTCTGCAATCGAGAGGAAGTCGGCGATAACTTTTATGGGGTTACATGTCAAATCTATGAAAAGGGCATGGACGAACGTGGTAATACGTTGATTAAGTCACGTGCACTGCAGCGTTTCGTTACTAAAGGCAGCCAAGTTACTGGGTAACACCTAGTGAATATTTCAGTATAGTTAGTTTTTAGTTACGTTTATCTTTGTTTTCTTTATTTGCAGCCCACTTTCATTCATTGCCGCCCATCCGCAGCTTAAGGTTTATGGTTATGTGAGAATCCTTCCCGAAATATATCTGCGTGAACCTCTTAAATGCATTAATATGGGCTCATTAAATCGATACCGCGATATAGAGTCCATGAGCGACACGTATAAACGCTATCAAGCAGCCACAACACCTTGGCCTGCACACGTGTATGACTATTACAGCATTACAGCGATTATAGAGAAGGCGCGTTCTCAGCTAGCACATCACAAAATCGACACTATGCCAACAGATCCAACTCAGTTATCATTTTGGTTGGTTCGCAACCTTCACCTATCAGATAGCCTCATGAAAACAATTTTCTTGACAGATTCAGTGAATATCCGCATGAAAATTATATCAAATACATTTACAGATGTGAGTTACATTGTTATGAAATCTTTATCTTAATTCACATTAACATATATTTACAGGATTCGGTTTTTACATGTCGTTATTGTGGCAACCGCATCGCAAATTGTCAACAACTTTTCGCAATGTCAAAACACGGAGTGCAAACTCAGTACTGCAATTCAGGTAGGACTAGAGTGAGATATTCGTTCTTTACATTTGCTGACCAATTGACTTTCACTTATAGCTGGATATATACATGAAACGAATACCGTATATCAACTATTACCAGACGCAATAACTTATAGCGGCCAATCATCTTCAAAATTCAGTTGGTTTCCTGGGTAAATCATTTTATTTACGTACTTATACCAATAACATTTAAATTACTAATTTAACATGTCTTTGTCACGCAGCTACGAATGGCACATTATTGTTTGCAAGATCTGCTCACGGCATATTGGATGGAAATTTAAGGCCCTCGAACCCAATTTGGTACCAAAATCGTTCTTTGGGATTTCCAGCTCCAGTGTACGTATAGGTTCGCCGACACCGGGAAATACCAATGAACGTGCAGCCGTTTTTCAAAGTCTAATGAGGTTGGCGCGTACAGAAATGCAATGAATTTGGAGAGCGGTGAAGCGTTTGTACTGTTGCAACCATTGTTGCGGCTTGAGACTTAATAACCGTGCTCTTCAGCCGCAAGCAAATGAGCTAAACGTCATTGATTTGGTATGACTCATATGTTTTAGTTTGGATTGCAGATTTGATTGTGAAACGTTTCACCCATTATTGGAATGCAAGAAAAATGAATTCGAATGAAAATGTTTCTATTATTTTAGGTGCATACTCGAAAAGGTAAAATGTTTGCAATTGTCAAATNAGCGATTGTAGAGAAGGCGCGTTCTCAGCTAGCACATCACAAAATCGACACTATGCCAACAGATCCAACTCAGTTATCATTTTGGTTGGTTCGCAACCTTCACCTATCAGATAGCCTCATGAAAACAATTTTCTTGACAGATTCAGTGAATATCCGCATGAAAATTATATCAAATACATTTACAGATGTGAGTTACATTGGTATGAAATCTTTATCTTAATTCACATTAACATATATTTACAGGATTCGGTTTTTACATGCCGTTATTGTGGCAACCGCATCGCAAATTGTCAACAACTTTTCGCAATGTCAAAACACGGAGTGCAAACTCAGTACTGCAATTCAGGTAGGACTAGAGTGAGATATTCGTTCTTTACATTTGCTGACCAATTGACTTTCACTTATAGCTGGATATATACATGAAACGAATACCGTATATCAACTATTACCAGACGCAATAACTTATAGCGGCCAATCATCTTCAAAATTCAGTTGGTTTCCTGGGTAAATCATTTTATTTACGTACTTATACCAATAACATTTAAATTACTAATTTAACATGTCTTTGTCACGCAGCTACGAATGGCACATTATTGTTTGCAAGATCTGCTCACGGCATATTGGATGGAAATTTAAGGCCCTCGAACCCAATTTGGTACCAAAATCGTTCTTTGGGATTTCCAGCTCCAGTGTACGTATAGGTTCGCCGACACCGGGAAATACCAATGAACGTGCAGCCGTTTTTCAAAGTCTAATGAGGTTGGCGCGTACAGAAATGCAATGAATTTGGAGAGCGGTGAAGCGTTTGTACTGTTGCAACCATTGTTGCGGCTTGAGACTTAATAACCGTGCTCTTCAGCCGCAAGCAAATGAGCTAAACGTCATTGATTTGGTATGACTCATATGGTTTAGTTTGGATTGCAGATTTGATTGTGAAACGTTTCACCCATTATTGGAATGCAAGAAAAATGAATTCGAATGAAAATGTTTCTATTATTTTAGGTGCATACTCGTAAAGGTAAAATGTTTGCAATTGTCAAACATATTAGGACTATTCTCGGAGTCTTGAAAAGTCTTTGCACGGTGCATAGATTGCACGAAAAAAACCGGTTTTCCTATGGGACAGCTTGCAAGCCGTGCAATCCGTGCACCGTGCAAAGGTTTTGCAAGATTGCGAGTATACCCCTATTGGCTTGTGGAAAGATAGTACGTACACACATACACATGGTTATGTATATACATATGTACGTACATATGTGGCTGGTACACGAATATTACCATAANTTTCCTATGGGACAGCTTGCAAGCCGTGCAATCCGTGCACCGTGCAAAGGCTTTGCAAGATTGCGAGTATACCCCTATTGGCTTGTGGAAAGATAGTACGTACACATACACATGGTTATGTATATACATATGTACGTACATATGTGGCTGGTACACGAATATTACCATAATNGGCGCGTACAGAAATGCAATGAATTTGGAGAGCGGTGAAGCGTTTGTACTGTTGCAACCATTGTTGCGGCTTGAGACTTAATAACCGTGCTCTTCAGCCGCAAGCAAATGAGCTAAACGTCATTGATTTGGTATGACTCATATGTTTTAGTTTGGATTGCAGATTTGATTGTGAAACGTTTCACCCATTATTGGAATGCAAGAAAAATGAATTCGAATGAAAATGTTTCTATTATTTTAGGTGCATACTCGTAAAGGTAAAATGTTTGCAATTGTCAAACATATTAGGACTATTCTCGGAGTCTTGAAAAGTCTTTGCACGGTGCATAGATTGCACGAAAAAAACCGGTTTTCCTATGGGACAGCTTGCAAGCCGTGCAATCCGTGCACCGTGCAAAGGTTTTGCAAGATTGCGAGTATACCCCTATTGGCTTGTGGAAAGATAGTACGTACACACATACACATGGTTATGTATATACATATGTACGTACATATGTGGCTGGTACACGAATATTACCATAATTTGTTTAACCAATATCGGTCTGCTATGTACTTATATATTTTGTTAAATGTTCCAAATCGAGTGCCATCTAGTACATATATATATAATATATATATGGATGTGTGCATGTACGAACGTATATCATATTTTTCATTGAAATGTATGTAAAATCTCTTTAAAAAAGAGTCACTAGACGGGTCGTGAACTTTATCTGCTACCATGCTCTGTAAACAAGTAAAATTCTGAAATTAACCAGTATGAAAAAGAAAAAGAAAATAAATGCTTTGACCACCATTGTAAGAGTATCCCTCCTTGAAAGGTATATTCGTATTTTATTATTTTAGATTTATATTAAATCATAAAGTAAGAACTTTTGAAAGAATATTTACATTAATAAACTCCCATTTAATTCGGGCTTACTCTCTTCAGAAGTCTATATATTTACAGTTTAATTTTCTAATAATTCGGCGAATGATGTTGAAAGTTTCTAAAAAATATAAACGAGTTTAAATAGACAAAGTAATTTCAACGTAATTCGGACTTAGCTTAAAACTTACTGTTTTACAAAATGGGCAGGCACCAAAGGACACACTGAGAAAATTCTTTCCATCAGTAAGTGTATTGAACCATTCTTTCAGGCACGATGCATGATATATAAGCGTACAATGGGGATTATCACAGGACACAATCGGTATTTCACCTTCATCCAGTTGATAAGAGTAGCAGATATTACAAAATTGTTCCGCTGCTGTGGCCTCGTGCTCTCCACCTAACCATCCGCTACCCGGCGGCATAGGAAAGTAACACAGGTCGAAGATACGCAACAAATTTTTATGTATATCTAATTCGGCGTCCCAATCACGTAAGCCATCACTTAGTGTGCGTCGCAACTCTTCAACTGCTTGTGTCGGTCCTATGACCTGCAAGGACATTGAGGCAATTGGTGCGAATGGATCAACGATGACCAGTTTGAGGTAGACTCGCTCGCGCAGCACAAACAAACGCCAATTGTGTTTGGTAGATACTGGCGGTGATGGTTGCACAACATAGCACAGTTCGTCGATATCGGTGAAGTTATCATAAAATGGCTGCAAGTCTTCTAAATACTTTTGAAATTGCTGCACCATGGCACCGAGATTATTATACTTATGGAGCTGTTCTTCCCAATCAAAACAGTCGGGTAGACTATGCTCACTTATGCGTAGACTTGGAAGTTCCACTTGCAGATAATGTTTCCCGTGCAGAGCAAATTTGCAGAATCGTAAGCGGCTGCAGGCGTCATTCAATTGCAGCTGATAGCTCTCGGGCGAGTAGATGGCAACTATTTCTTGGTAAATATTTTCTGGTAGCGTATCCTCACTCCTACAGCCAAAAGTGGATATCTTCTCGCATTGCTTTTGTAATAGTTGTGGTATATTTTCTATAGCATCATACAGAGTCCAGCCGGACTGTAGGTTCTTATTTAATATGGTAATTAATTTATTTTGATGCGTCTGCAGTAATTCTATAATCGCATCTTGAAGTTTAGGGAAATTCGGGCACAAAATTTTTACGCGAAACCATTTTCCCTAGCAGTTTATAGGTACATTATACATATGTAAATGATAGTAAAGTTTCCAAATGCTTGTTTCAATCATACCTGTATTTTCACAGTTCCTTTCGCGCTGGAGCCAGTGACTATAAGGCCGGGATATTGCAGAATTAAATTCTTCCAATTTACNAATTTAAGACGTTAGACCAGCAGAAACTTTGCACGTGGTTCTGGCCCTCAGCGGTATTACCATACGTGTATTAGTGGAGCAACGTTGGACACACCTGAAGATTTATCATACCCTTGGAATATAGCATACTAAGAGGAATAACCTGGCGGTGGTTTACAATTAAACCGGCCAACCTACCCAAATCCCAAAAAAAAAAAGAATCTGAGATTTGGAAATCCAGGAGGATTTCCCATATATTTTCCAGATTTCGGTTTCTTGGATTTCAACGATTTCTCATCGACATCTTCGTGAAAAAAATTAAGAGCCACAATAGGGCCACGATAAAAAACGTGTTTCCTATGGGCCAGCTTTGCAAACCGTGCATTTCGTGCACCGACTGCGAGAATACCACTTGTGTATTTAATATAGCCCCAACTGTTGAGGAGTGCCTAAATGTACACCATCATTTCTATTGTGAAATAAAGTACAAACCACCCATTCATAACTACACTTGTCAGGAAATCGCAATAAAGTGCGGTGGAAACATCAAACCTAGATACTGAAATTTCGAGGTTGCAATCTTCAGAGTGTAATTACGCACTTTAGACTTCAGTGGAGTGGGAATGTACTACATATTGCATTACTCTGTTGACTCCTTTGGGCGTATTTTAGCACTTCCACCTTGAAGTAGGGAAACACGAGGTTGTACCAACCAGCTAATGGAACTGCTATTTTTTATTTGCTATTAAAATTAATAAAATCGCCAATTTTTGTGGTTATTTGGAAGTTCGCGGTTTAAAATGTTTTGGTCTCCAAAATTTGTCTACAATAGTACTGGAAGATACATACATCGATATAATATCGATACATCGATGTTTTTTTTTTCCGATGTGCGATGTTTATCTCTATAACCATCACATAGGTAATGGGCTGTTTTTGCTTACGCGTAAAAGCACATTTAGCGCATTTAGCTCTAAATGCTACTCTAAACGTACATTTATCCATACAAAATTCGTCACCTAAATGCAACTAAATGCAACTCCATTTTTGCATTTAGAATCTAAATGCTAAAAGCAACCCTGTCATCTTCCAAAATTTCCACGATTCGAACATGGTTTAATGAGAAGAACTGGCAACATTGCTTTTTCGAGTATACAGTCGCTAGCTGCGTTTCAGTAATCGCCGATCGAGATTTCATTTATTATTTTACATTATTTGGATAAAGAAAAGTTACGCAAATTAAACATCGATATGATGCTGATAGAAATCTGGATTAATTTGGGATCAACTCTGTTTGTTTTGTTTCCTAATTAAGTGTGGAAATTATAATTGACAGCACCGACAAATGAATATATACACAAACAAATGTTTGGTTATGGTTAAAATAATTCAAGTTTTTGTATTGAATTTTCGGTTTAGAATTTATTTTTTCCTTTTCAGTAGGGATTTTTGGACATTATCTTTTCCGTGAGAATTTATCGTAATAGATACGGATCTGAATAAGCGACTGGAACACGGCTGTTTGTCAAAAGCATACGATTTCGAACTCGCGTAAATGTACATTTGCTAAATGCGGTAGCATGAACGCTCTTCGAAAACATATGTTCGAAAGTGCTAAATGTTGCATTCTAAATGCAGCAAAAACGAAGCTTAAGTGAAAATCTACCGAGCACAATTTTAATACAAATTATTAATTCTTTAGATTATTGGTGTTGGCACAACTTGAAATCTTTAAGTCGCAGGCTTCTTGGTGAGACTGTGTTTATGTGTGTGTATATGTATGTATATAAATGTGAGCAATATATGTAAATATCACTCTCTTTTAAATCAAAGTCCAAATTCAACTCTTATTATCTTGTATGGCCAACATTTAAAAAATTCGCTATTTAAAAAGATCGATGCATCGATACTTTGATGTTGCTCCCCAAAAACCATCGAAACATCGATGTTTTTCCAGCACAAGTCTACAATGTTGCCACCACGAACAGAGTTGCCGCGCTACTCCATAAAGTTTAACAAAATCATTGTTTATTTATATTTGACCGTTAATTGAAGATTCTGCTGATTTTTTTGAACTCAAGGCCGGGTTGAAATAAAACAATCTGTTTTTGTTGTTTTTAAATTAGAAATCAACAGAAAGCTTAACAAAATCTTTCAAAAAGTTTAACAAATCCCGTTAAAAATAAGCAACTTATTTATCGGGCCTTTTTGAAACGAAAATGCCTGGAGTTACTGTTTGTTTCTTCCCGAGCTTGTTAAATTGGTTATCGAAATAAAAAATAGGCAAGTCAGTAAGTAAAGGCTTTCTAAGGCTGAGTTTTGTCGTCAAAAGTAAGGATGTTATAGTCTAAGAGCCAATTTCAAATGAATATATAAACGGCACTTAAGTTTAATTGTGGATTGTTGTTTAAATGCCATTTAGCTTTCGTTGGGTTTGAGATCAACTTTGTTTAAATATGCCAAACAGTTGGCAGCACTGCTGCTTATTCCTTGAAATTGTTGTTGCAGTTGCATGTGTGTTTACATTTTCTGCTGAACGGCTGATTGTTTTAGGTGGGATTTGGTGGGATGGATTAAACAACCTTTGGGTATAAACACAGGGTTGCATATCTCTATTTAATGGAGCCACGCCCATTTGCCAAAAATTCATATTTCAACATTCAACAATTTGTAGTTTTTGCATTTCAAGAAAATACTTTTATATGGGAGGTGGGCGTGGTTATTGTCCGATTTCAAAATACCAACTTAGCTTGGATAAAGAGAAACCAAAGGTCTGAAATTTACTTAGTTTTTATGCATACGGACCATTGTGAGGTAAACTGTTCGCTAGACGATACTCTCTAACGATCAGTTATAGAATATCTTGATTTTCTATACAAATGGTTGTGGGTAAACAGACTGCAATTAAATGTGAAGAAAAAAGTTTCTGATCATATCTAGGGGATTTAACATAAGTACCGATGACAAGGTAAAATTTGAGGAACATATTGAATATAGAGTAAATAAAATAGTGCAAAAATTGATCTCATGAAAATTTCACGTATGCACACATAAAGTAAGTATAAGACCCTGGTATGTATACAAATATATGGTAGAACCACACGTCCAACGATCTTTTTTATAGCTAGCGACGCACAAAGAGATAAACTTAAAAAAATGCAAAATATGACTATGCGATTCATACTGAACAAGCGGTACGACACACCCATACAGGAAATGAGCGTAGATCTTCCAGATTATTCGAACCCATACATATACATATATAGAATTTGGCAGTTACCAAAGGCTAAAACTTCGATGTCAACCCAAGATATGACTGATTTATTACTGCTCTATTACAAACCAGCAGTGGAATTTTAGCAATCGCTACGCTAAATTTCTATCGCTAAAAATCACTACAACGCCTCCAGGGAAATATAACATATCCATAGTGCTTACGAGTTTATATTGTATCACATCGGCATTCGCTTGGCATATTTTTGGTCACATACATATGTATTTTATTTATTTAGAGATTTTTGCCAAGAATCCCAGAATCTAGAATCCCACTGCAGGACTCTTTTTTTTGCATTCTTTTTTTTAAATAAACTTACTTTAACAAAAAAGCTCAAAAAATTTATTTCGTTTTGTTGAGTCGTGTTTTAGAGTATATACTTACATATATGTATACTGCGGAGCTATATACTCCATAAAAATAGATAGCTTTGATCTTTAAACTCTTAAAATCTGCTTTACGCATACAAGAACGAGCTCAAAGTACACGTTTGCGTATGCCTTTCCCAAAGTCATTTTGTTAGACTCGCATTTTATCCATATACATCAATTAAAAAAATTTAAGAAAAATATTTGCGTCAGCGGTGGGCGTGGCTTACATAATTTACCCGAAAGGTGAGTCTTATAGGGAGACACTAATGTGAAAAATTTGGTTTCGATAGGTTCATCCGTTTCTGAGAAATTGAATTTTATCCACCTCTCCCTACAAAGGCGACCACTGTGAGCCGAAGGCACCTATGCCGATATTTAACAAAGCAGATTGGTTCAGCGGCATCAAAATGAAAAGTTGTAAAGATGATCTCTCGTTAGCATGGATAAAGGTAGCGGTGAAAGACGTCCAAGGCCTATGGGATGGGGCATCTCTCGAGATAGTAGATTGCATCGAAATTCCGTCGATCCCAACCGCCATAACCCCGACATGGCGACGTCTGACTGGAAGGTGTTGAGCGTGGCCAAGTCATTTTTAAATAAGGGTGGCCAGCACTATATTCTCCAAATAAAAAAGATGGCGGAAACCATTACCTGCGTGGCGTGGGACGTAGGTAGCGTATAACTTCGCCCCAAAAAAGCGAAATCTTACCGACAACAACCACAACACGCTAGAGGCTGGGGAAGGATCTCGGCCTTGAGGAGATCCCACGTTTTTCCAAAGACCCGTATACATTTCCAAAATTCTACCGATGCTTTGGAGCTCTTGTGCTCCATTTGATATTTCCACGATAATTTTTTATCCATAATTGCTCTGAGTTACTTCATATTCGGTGGAAGTCTAAGTCCTTTTCCTTCTGGTGAAGAACACGACACTAGTTTTGGTTTGGTTAGTGGTAAACCTATTTCCATTACACCAAGTGTCAATCATATGCACAATTGTTTGTAATTTCTTGCGAACAGCCGGCAGATATGGGCCCGTGACTAGGCAGGCTACATCGTCCACAAAGCCTTGAGCGTAGATATCAAAATCCTTAATAGTCACAAGAGGACCGGGAGGTTCACTCGCATATCTTATGGCATCTTCACTCGCTACAGTTCTGGCAACAAACCCGTTGTATCTTGTCACAGTGGTTCTCGCATTCCTTCCCTCTCCTGCCGAGGGAGAGAAAGGTGCAATCATAACTTGATTTCCAGGCAATTTCTGAAAGCATAGAGCGAGAGAGGGTATAAATCCTAGACTCGATGAAAGAGCGATCAGACGTCTTAATTTAACTCAGTTATGTAGTTTGGTCCTTAACAGTTTAGCTTTTTGACCAAGGATTTAATTCCGCTGCAGTATTCTTTAAAACAAGCCCTTTGCTTCTTATGCTTTCTTTGCGCGCAGCGATAGCGTTCCCAGTCCATCTCAAAGTTAGTTTCGAGGTCCCGCAAAGTTGAAACTCGATGTACCTGCCATCCGAAAGGGAATCTTCACTCAGGNAATGACAATTGCCTTACCGAACACCTGGCCGAAAGTCAGGTCTCTTCTTCCCCAATAGCTTTTAGGTTTTAGTTATATGTGTTGACTTAAACTATAAACAAATACATTTGTTTAACACCTGCATCCGGGGGAGGTCTATGTAAGTACATCCATATGTTTGAACATTAGGGTGGCCCAAAAATACATAGGAAAATCCACTTTTTTTTAGTTTCCCTGCTGCCATCCCCCAGAACTGAAGAATATAAAAATAAGGAGAAGCGTTCTTTTATATATTTAGAAATCGGTTAACATTTACCCATAGCGCCGGAGCTTTGAAATCTCCCATGTATTTTACACGGGGAAAATAATTTTTTTCGCAGAATTTATATAAAATCGTTAAAATATAATTTGTTTTATTTAACTCAAAAATTTTACTAAGTCTGTTTTAATAGCCGATAAATCCTATCGGTTATATATAAAAATTAGTGATTTTAAGTTTTCATAACCACATCACGCACGAACAGCTCAATGGATACTATTTTGAATTCTACTCGAACTTTTCTGTAGGTTTGTGGTACAAAATTTTGAAAAATATGGTAACCAGATATTTGAAAATTTATAATTATTTAAAGGTCAATAAAATATATAGTGTTATTTTTTGAATACTTCTGAAGAGAAGTAGTCTTATTCGATCAAAAAATGTTTATTTATAAGGACTTTATAGCAATATTTTACCAAAAACTGTATTCGCCCCATGTAAAATACATGGGAAACTTCAAAGCTCCGGCACGGGTAAATATTAATAGATTTCAAAATAAAGAAAATCCCTGTCACCTTGTTTTTGATATTTTTCAGATCTGGGGGTGGCTGGAGGGAAACAATTTTGGCCCACCCTAATGTCCATATATACCTAAGTTTTTCATATGTAAAAAGACAATGTGCCAACTTACCCAACTATTTAAGCTGCATAATTGAGGCGGTTAAGTTTCATTCTTAGTTGTTGCACTCGCAGGTACACTTCGGTGATTGCTATAAGGTTGATATTTTAAATTTTTAAATTACAAATATTTTTTCGTTTATTAAAAAGTAATTGCAACTGTGTGTGTTGCGCTTTTACTGGCCTCCGCATCGGCTACTAATGTTAAGCAATGTAAGTAAAATAGTTATAAGTTAACAAGAAGTCAACATACATAATTTTAGGCAACGTCGTTTATTCATTAAACTGTTATTAATTTAAATATTTATTTAAGTACATATTATTTAATTAACTATCCGTGATTGCAGGCAAAAATGGTCAGCCGTTCCCACTTGGTGTTGATATCGAGAGCTGTGACCAGCTACCATGTAATGTTGTCAAAGGCGGAAGAGCGTTAATGAAAGTCAACTTTGTGGGCAGTAAGCGCAAAAATCGTAAAAATACTCGAATGTTTTTTAAACTTATAACTTTTTATATTTCAGCGCGCGATAATATTAAGCAAATAAGAGCCGTTGTACATGCCACCGCCTTGGGCATCACGGTGCCCTATGAATTGCCCGAAGAGGTGGCCGATGTTTGCCGCAACTTATTGTATGGCGCTTCTTGTCCCATCGACAAGTCCGAGGATGTGAGCTATAATTTCATTTTTGACGTTGATTCCTCATATCCGGAAATCAGCGTGAAGGTGCAACTGAATTTAGTTGACGAAAACGACGAATCTGTTGCCTGTTTCATTACCGATATAAAGGTACAGAAGGCATAGGAAACTTTGTCATTGGAAGATTTTGTTGAAAATGAGGTACCGAGTTTGAGATGTATATACATATATGTATCTAAAATTAATGTTATTGCATAATAAAAAAGAACTGTGTAAGTACCAAGCAAAAATTAGGTTTTTCTTATATTGTATTACATCGTACGACAGCCAAGTAAAAAAAAATCATCAGTACATTCGCGAACCATGGGCCAACAATAGTAAAACTGCTTTTTTAGTTTTCTCTCTGAAGGACTTTGAAATTTGAAATATATGATTAATTCAAAAAATTATTTTAAAAATTCAGTGCAATGTAGAACAACAAAATGGATACCAAATTAAAAAAAAATCTGTAGAATTGAAAAAGATTAACTTTTTTTATGCATATGAACGAATGGGTAAGGAAAATGTCCTTTTAAAATTTTGTCCTTGAATATTCTTGTAAATTTTCGATATTTATTTTTGAAAAAAAAAATATATATACTTTAAAGATTAACATACACAAGCCCACATCTTTGAATTTCATCCTTCTAACTTTATTACCTTAAAAAATAAAATTAAATAAAAGAGCATTTTTAGTATCTGTTCATCCTAATGAATAAAAAATTATATTTTTTTAAATCTACAGAACATTCTCTTTGATTTGGTACTCATATTGTTATTTTACACAGCACTGAAATTTTCAAAATAATTTTTGGAATTAATCATATCACTGAAAATATAATGTCCTTTTAGAAAGAATTCTGACTTCAGAGAAAAAAAACTAAAAACGCAGTTTTACTATATTTAACCCACCTTTTCGTGATTGCTTCTTGTGTATCTAAATATTTTGGATTTTGTCGCTCGGTGTTATCATATCTGCCGTAATCCGTTAAACACGAAAAAGCCTCGTAATTAAAAAAAATACTGGTTTTCTGAGTTGAAATAATAAAAAATGAACTCTCGCTGTAGAGAGAAGAAAGAGTACGCTTATTCAGTGGTAAATTGTGCTCTGAAAAAAAAAAAACTAAAAAAGAGTAAATTTCCAAAGTAGCAATGAACGCTAAACCAAAAGCAGCTCCTCCATGTCATGCTAAATAGTAATTTTACAAAAAGTACTTATCAAAAGCGACCGTTAGTTATAGCTGACGCTGATAAGTGCCTGTGGAACACCTGCAAATTATATTGTTAATCAATGGAACACCTGCACTTTAACTAATATTCAGCCAAATCTACTATTATTTATGGACAAAATATTTGCGATTAAAGTATGTATATATGTAATCCATTTAGGAAAGTATTAAATTTAGTTAATTCGGCATTTTACCGGCAGTCTGAGTTGTGACTCGCAGCCGAACATCACTACAAGAAATATTTTATTTAAATAATTTTAAAATTAGTTTAGTAACTTCAAATATGTTTCGTTTGACAATTGTGTGTTTCGCTCTCTTCTTGGCAACTGCATCGGCAACAAATGTAAAAGAGTGTAAGTGAAATGTGAATGAAATTAAGGATCATGGTGTAAATAATCCATATTATAAACTCTGAAAATACTAACCATTTTGCGTATTTATACTTACATAATTATTACATTATACAAATGTACATATCGATGGTTCTCTGTAATAGCGACACAACTCAGAAGTAAAAAAAACTCTTATTAGATATTCTATTATCAGATAGTAAGGGGCGATTTAATTTTTTTAATATTGAGTTGTGTTGTTTTCGCAGAGGATGTATTTAAGGAGAAATTTTCATTATTTAAATACCACTGGAACATTATTGCCAGGTCAAGTTTAATAATTTAGCGATTTGCTTTATGCGGGCCAGTTCTTTTCGAATACCTACCATAATGCTATTCGCAAGGAAAATATATCTTGATTTCAGGACTCAGGAGGCTATATATTTTGAAAGCGGTGGTACAGCCATTTTAGCTCGATTGCTCCACTCTGTACTTTGGAGTCGAACACCAAGAGGATTACAATTTTTTATAGTGTCCAATTTCATAAAAAAATAAATTAAAGCCAAGGAAAATAACAGTTAAATACCTAGATTTTCATTTTATTTTTTTGGGCCAAATTTACCCTTATTTTGTGTTTTCTATTATATTATCGCTGACTTTTAACCGTTATAATGGAGATTTTAAAAACATTAGGTTCTAAAAAAATTTAATCTAAAATTAAGCAAAAAAATAAAAATAATATAACGATCGAAAAAATAAAAATCAAAAATAATGATTATTTGTTATCGAAAAAATTAAGATCATAAAATAATAGTAAAATTTCCACGCAAAAGTGGAACTCCAATTTAACGGTTGAATTATGATTTTAGTTATAAAGATCACAAGGCTGATTCAAACACATGATATTTTAAGTATATGTAAATCGATATGAAACATTAGCTCTGTCTTCAGAGACCTCTCAACTGTCACCAGAGTAAGTAGTTTCAGCCTTTGTTTTGGAAAAATGTCAGAGAGAAGCTACATACATAAAACGCTTCATAAAAATGTTAAAACGAGGTCCACCAAACACGAAAATATCTAGCAAACTAAGGAGAAAAAATAAATACATACATTAGGGGTCTTCACTGCGATCTTCGTTGAAGTCCGTTTTGCTCCATTACGTCGGCATTTTTCCCAAACCTCAAAAAACGGGTTTCAGATTCGTATTCAGCGCATGAAAATACATAAGGAAAGGATAGTCTGATTCCCCAAACAAGACACTTACATATTTTTGGTATGGCTGTGTTATAAAATCTGCATAAATTACTTAACATTATTCAAAATTAAACAAAAATATGTAAACATTTGGCACACAAAATTTAGCTGGATGTTTGGACGAGGATATGCTCCAATTTGCAGTGTGCATCCTGTAGTTATAACACAAACTGAGAGACCTAAAATTTTACGCCGTCTCCGAACGAAAACAAGTGGTTACATGATAAGCATTTTGTAGGCAGAAATATGTAAACTCGGAGGTTTGCCTGCCGATTGGCGACCGCTCTTAGAAAATATTCTTATAATTTAGATTTTGCTCGGACCGTGCAGGTGCTACGAAATGGTAGTACGTAGCTCTAACCACACAGCCACAGCGGCCGTGGAATAATGTTGATTTAAAACTACTATCGTTGCTTTCCGAAATTCTAGAGAATTTAACCCTTCCATAAGTGGCAATTTCCGACTATCGCGCAGTGTTTTGTGAGCCCTGATATGGCATGATATAAATGGCAGATCAGCTAATTTCAACAAGCTTAAAATGTAGCAGAAAGGCGAAAGAAGTCAAATAATAGTTTATCGATTTCATGAATAAATATGTAATGTATGTATGTGGTATTTAACTGTTATAGCCCAGTATAGAAATAAATAGGGAAAATGTATTAAACTAATTCAAAGTCATTAGTTTCTACTTCTTTTGGATTATATGAAATGTATTATTCCATATCCTCAGTGATCCGCAAATGGAGAATTGTATTGCAAATCAAATTTTTAGTGCTTTTGCGAGCATGGTCCGTATATACATATACATACCTTTTTGGCTCACTTTGTTCATAGGTGGTACGCGAAAAAAGGTCGAGAAGAACTGCCATAAGGTCCTTATGAGGGCTGTGCCCAACATGTAAGTTCCACAGGTATTAGATATAGAAATACTTACAATGTATGTTTGTATGTACATGTGTACATATGTATGCATACGAATGCATGAAAGGTTTATATAATACCTGTTTGCTGAACTCCGAACCCCACTATAAATCCACTTCTGACATATTGTTTTATTTTTTATCAAAAATTTAAGCCTCGCGACCTAGNTCCTTATGAGGGCTGTGCCCAACATGTAAGTTCCACAGGTATTAGATATAGAAATACTTACAATGTATGTTTGTATGTACATGTGTACATATGTATGCATACGAATGCATGAAAGGTTTATATAATACCTGTTTGCTGAACTCCGAACCCCACTATAAATCCACTTCTGACATATTGTTTTATTTTTTATCAAAAATTTAAGCCTCGCGACCTAGTTAGGAAAATGACTCAATTCGTTTTAATTTATGGTTTTGACACTTCGTTTGACTTTTTGGGTAACTTCATAATTTTCTAATCTCATCGATTAATGCAATTAACTAACAACCTTAATATAAGCATATAAAATAAAGCACGCCCTGCTGGAAAAATGAACTAAGTAATGAAAATCTCTCGGTGTATTAAATGGCAACAACCGTAACGTCTCGAATAGTCGAAGTCCTTTTATCTTAGTTTAGTTTTTCGACTTTATATATGTATGTACACATGTACTTATGTACATTGGACCGTACCTCCTAACAAACAAACAAAAAATATATTTTTGCAAGGTGGTTTCGAGCTTTATTTGTCGAACTAGGCGCATCTTGTTACATTTTTGGCTGACTCCTACATGTGTATGTACATTTGGGGATACAAAAAAAAATTATACGCCTGTTTTTTATTTGGAAATCAAAAAATATTTATAAAATGCATGAACAACTTTGAGCGCTTTGAGCGAACTCTAAATATTTTATTTGCCTTGCAAAAATAGTTCCAACGTTATTTGTTTTGGTACGGGCTAATGTAGATATATGTAACTTTTTATTGCGTACGAGCGAAGGATCATGCTTAGTATTTACGTATACCTTTGATTAATAAATACATTTTTTTGTCTTTCTTATTTTCAGGTAAAAATGGTGAGCCATTCCCACTTAGCGTTGATGTTGAGGGCTGCGAAGAGATACCATGCACTGTTCTTAAGGGTTCCACGGTGGTGATGCAGGTGCACTTTGTTGGCAGTAAGTTCTAAAAACAAGAAATCAATGATTATTTAATTGTATTAATTTTAAATTATATTACAGACCGGGACAACACTAAGCAAATTTCCGCTAATGTGTACGCCACCGCCTTAGGTATCACTGTACCCTATCCACTGGCCACTGAATTGGCCGATGTGTGCAGCAATTTGTTGTATGGTGCCAATTGTCCCATCGATAAAACCGAGGATGTAGTATATAACTTCAATTTTGAAGTGGATACTTCTTATCCGGAAATCAGCGTAAAGGTAAGATTGAATCTGGTCGATGAAAACAGCGATTCCGTTGCTTGCTTCATAACTGACATAAAGGTTCGAAAGTCTTCGGGGACAAGGCAGCTGGAAACCGCTTGAATATACATAAATGTACATACGATATTACGATAAACAAAATATACTTGTTAATTTTTTTTGGATATATTTTTATTTAATCAATTTTACGCTAATAACAAACGGCTCGGATTTTCAACCAATTTTTCGATTGTCTCCTTCTGAATCATCTCGCGGTTTTCGGTAACGAGTTTTCTATGCGAAGTGTACTAAACGATCGCTCCACAGTCACTGTTGTGCATGGAAAAACACTCAAAATGGAAATACACTTATTTATCGCTGATACAAATTTTCTTTAAATAGATCTACAACTTCGACATCCCGCTTATCTTCTTCGGACAAGTTCTTTTTCTCTTTTTTCCATAAATTGTACCAAATAATGAGTTCACTGCCCATATCTAGATCATAGATCTGTTGATAATGCTTCGTGTTCTTTTATACCTTTTCACTGGAACATTTAGGCTCTACCCTGAATTACAGCGGACGACGGTAAATCAATCTGCGGTAAGTGAACAGCTGAACAGTTGCCGCAGTGAAATCTGTCAGAGTAAACACAATTGCGGCGCACGAAGGCTTCCGTCAGTTGCCATTTTGATTTGAAAATTATCATTAAAATTAAATATTTTTTCGGTACGTGCGTGTATGTACATAGATTTTCTGGAAATATGGATGAAAACATTGGCCAACTTGTAAAAATAATAAAAATTACTACAATCTACACTCAATCAACATTATGCCGTCCCCGCTGGGCGGTAAAAATATAAATAAATTTAAATCAACCGAAAACGTCGGTGGTAAAAACGCTGCGGCCGCAATTATGGACCATTCCATATGCCTTTGTGAGTTTTAATTTTGACAGCGGTTAACCGTCGACCGCTTTACCGTCGTCAGCTGCAATTCTGAGTAGAGCTTTAGTCGAATACAATGGGTGCAATCTATGTAGACAGCGAAAAACCTGGAGTATTTTCATTGGAAAAGCGTAGTTGTAAAGAGGCCGTTAGTGAATCCAGATGCGAGTTTATTATAGACCGTCGCCAACTCCTAGATCGGCTGTAATCAAACGGAATTTTTTAATTAACTCTGTAGTGACTCCTTCTGCATTATTACGATCATTCTTAACAACCTCTAAAATATTTTCAATATGCTGACCAACGGCGATGGAGTCTAGTTATTGTCTTAATTTGCAAATTGTTTGCTGTAGGTTCCAGCAACGTTGAATATTTAGCAATTATCATTAAAACAATGATGAACATCGGCTTTGTTATAGCAGCACACAATTGATACCCAGGAAAGTTTTCTGAAAAATTTCTGATAACTTTATATTTTTCCGACTATCTTGATTCACACAAACGTGATATATTAGGATCACAATTCTTGCGTGTTGTTGATTCGCGAAAAATTTGTCACATCTTTTAGGGTAGAAATAGTATTTCTTATTTCTGTAATCTCGCGTTTAAGTCATTCACAACAAGGTTTAACGGAAGAGGAAGTGTTTTTTCATCCTGTTTATCACAGAATGGTAAGAGAAACTCAAATGGGTGTTTCATTCAATTCATGCCATATTGAGGATAAAAAAGTGGCAAAATGTGCCAAATGGAAAAATAAAAGTGGCAAAAAAGGTGCCACCCTTTTGAATCCTTCCCATATAGTAATAAAGTAAGAACCACATTTCTAAAACAAAAATGCAATGCCAAAATAAGATAAACCAGTTGAATAATCTTTGGAAATTAGAAAATTGTAGTTGAGAAAAAGAAGTACACGCAAAGGATTTCACAAAAATGTATTGAAATATTACTATTTTTCAAAAGTGCCATTTTGGCACATTGTGCCAAATTGAAAAATTAAGTGCCATTTGATGTAAAATAGGTCCAAAAATGGCACGGCAATTATTTTTTTCCATGTTATTTAAATTTTTAAAATTTTATATTTATTTATAAGTTTAATTTGGTAACTCTTATAAGGGAAATACAACCCGAATTTCTTTGCACATGCTGCTATTATAGGGCGTCTAAATCACACAAAAACATTGCGCAATATCAGGCTTGCGTCGGTCGTTTGTGTGGTGTGTAGTTTGGTTGTTTGTACTAAATTACACAGTTATTGCGCGAAAATCAAAATCATTTTGATATTTTGCTCATGCTTGTTTTCTTGTACAATAATTTGTTTGTGTATGGCGACAACTGCGCAATTTTTAGTCGTAGTTTTGAAATTTTGGTATCCACATTGTGCGTTATGGATAAGAGCGTAGAAAAAAATCAAAATTTTTTAATAATCTAAAAATAAATAAGCATACAGATTCTCTGTTTTTGACAAAGCAAGTAATATTAAATATTTTTTATCTATGGATTTAATTATAAAATTTCATTTATTATTTGTTTCTCAAATAAAAGTTTAAAAAATAACAGCTGTGTTTGCTTTTGATACTTTTTTATAGTTGTTCTGCTTTATAACTGAAACTTTTTTTTCAAGCTCTCGACAACACTGCACACAAAGCTCATTTAACAGATTCCTTATGTGACAACTCTCATGCAGTGCCAAGTATGCATAACTGAGCTATTCGATGTTAACATGTACATATATATATATCGATGGTCCTGTGCAATAACGACACAATCCGAAATTCAAAAAACAAAAACTGTTACTACTCTTAAATGGCTCTTGTCTCTAATGTTTATCTAATCAATTTCCAACCTTCACTAAATTAAACAGTAAGGACTGCTAAAGTAAATGCAAAAGATAAGACATGGATGCGACAAGGACTAGAAACGTGAGCAAATTAACAGTAGTAACCGTTTTTATTTTTTGAAAATTGAATTGTGTCGTTATTGCACAGGGCCATCGATATACGTATATGCGTATGTATAACTAAAAATGGTTGCGTTCACTTTCAAAACAAAACGAAAATTCCTTTTGATCACAGATAGAGAGTAGAGATGTACCCAGTTTTCTATTTTGCTATTGTCGCTCGAGTATGGAAAGAAAGTTTGCTAAATTAAAAAAAATATCCATTATTTTTGCTTACTTGTGAAGTATCACCTTAGTTTCATCACACAAATAGTATTACTAGCTAACTCAATTGCTGTGCCTAACTAAAGCGCGTTTTTGCACAACTTGCTTGCTAAAGCGTTGCGAAAACTGTGAACTGAATTGTGAAAGTTGGGTGCTGGCATTTACGATAAGCATCTTTGTGTAGCCATATTTTTGTAGACTGGAAATGTTGTGCACTTGTATATACATACGTATGTATGTATTTATTTTTAATCATGGTACTCCTAGCGCCGTTTGGATTTATTATGTTTTCGTTTTGTTTCTTCAAATGAATACAAAGAACTTCTGATAAATTGTAGCTATAATTTGAGGCCTTGAGAGCAGACGTGGCCTAATCCAATTTTTTTTGTACTTATACAACTATTTAAAATAGTTCCAAAAGCTACATGGCATATATTAAAATTAAGAAATAAGCAAATCTTTATTTTAAATTTACGACATTTTAGAATGAAAAATTACACTGAATATGGCACGACGCCATAACTGGTTTGTCTTCAAACCAAACTTGAAATGGGTTGATGGAAATTAATTTTGAAGTAAATCACATATGAGACTATTTTAAGTAGTGAAGTACAAAAAAAGCGAGTTAGGCCACTTCTGCACGCACGCCTCATTTATTGCCTTTTTTTAGTTTACAAAAAGAATGTACACAGAGGATTTTCCAGGCGCACATACATATATTTTTCATTAACAATAAAATTAAATGTGTGTTCGTGTTTTACTTTTCGGGATTTTTCGAGTTGTCTTCTTGACTTGATATGGACTCTTTCTGGAAATTTCAAGCCTAAAAATAAATTCAATAACTTCTGCTATAACTTCTATCACTTAGACTTTGTTGCTTCTAAATTTTTCCTAATAAACAATCGTGGTACAAAGCTCAATAAGAATATTAAAAATAAAATGTTAATAACCCACAATAACATTGACAAATACATAAATAATTTCTGTTATCTTTCTATTGTTTATTTAATTTTTATACCCGAGCGCACTTGTGCACAAAGGTATTATAACTTCGTTCACACAACAGTTGTTTGTAACAGGCAAAACGAATCGAGATAGATATAGACAAATGTGTACATAAATGATCAGAATGAAAAGAGAAATCGATTAAGCGGTGACTGTTTGTCCGTCCGTCTGTCCGTCCGTCTGTGCTTCTTTCGGGCGTAGGACGGATGGTATTGAAAANCGAATCGAGATAGATATAGACAAATGTATACATAAATGATCAGAATGAAAAGAGAAATCGATTAAGCGGTGACTGTTTGTCCGTCCGTCTGTCCGTCCGTCTGTGCTTCTTTCGGGCGTAGGACGGATGGTATTGAAAAATCGCAAAATCGGACAATAACCACGCCTACCTCCCTTATAACGGTAATTTTCAGAAATACAAAAACTGCGATATTTTAGTAACTACTGAAGATTATTCACTAAAAATTGATATTTATAATAAATTTTAGACGAAAAATAAGAATATTAACATTTTTTTGAAAATGGGTGTAGCCACGCCCACTTATGGTTACATGTGTATATCTTGGTAACCGCTGCATCAATTTATTCCAAACTTGNCAATAACCACGCCCACATCCCATATAACGGTAATTTCGAGAAATACGAAATCCTCGATAAATCAGTAAATATTAAAGCTAATTTATTCAAATTGATGGTTGCAACAATTCTTTGCCTCGAAATACGTTTATGTATCTCGCTAACCGTTCTAGCAAATTGTACCAAACTCGGTATGGT